GCCCCTAACCCCTCTGCCTGCCTGCCTGCCTGATCACCACTAATCCCTCTGCCTGCCTGCCTGATCATCCCTAACCCCTCTGCCTGCCGGCCTGATCGCCCCTAACCACTCTCCCCTCCTGGCCTGATCGCCCCTAACCCCTCTGCCTGCCTGCCTGCCTGATCACCACTAATCCCTCTGCCTGCCTGCCTGATCACCCCTAACTCCTCAGTCTGCCTGCCAGAACTCCCTTAACCGCCTCTGCCTGCTTGCCTGATTCCCCCTAACTGCTCTCCCCTGTTGGGCTGATCACCCCTAGCTGTTCTCCCCTGCTGGCCTGATCACCCCTAACCACCTCTGCCTCAGCCTCCACCACTGTGGCTTTGTCCGGAAAGACTTCCAGAAGATGTCTGGTCTATCCAGTCTAATTAGCATATTATCCTTTTATTAGTATAGATGCCATGGATACAGAAAAGGAGTACATGGTGCCACAGGTCCTCATTTTTGCTATGCCTGCCCTAGGCCTTAACACTTAGGGCTTAAAACCCCCACTCAAGGATTTACCTCTACCACAGTGGGTTCTGATTTGCTAGGTCATTAAGTTAGTGCAATACCAGATCCTACTATTTTGCCCTCAGCACAGCCTTCAGCAGGTCCCTAGGGCATCAACTGCCTGGAAGGCCATCTCCCTTCTGGATTATATGAGGCTCCTTTGCTATCCACGATAGATATGTTTGGCAAATCATCATTTGGTTGTCAGCATAGTATACTTCTTCTTCCTAAAGCAAGGTAATCCTAATTTTGGCAGGAAACAAATTGTTTCTTTAGGGAGCATCATGAGGCCTCTTTCATAAGTTTTTATTTGGATGCCAGTAAGTTTTGGCCTCAAAATTAAAGTTCAAGGCAAGGGACCAGTCTTCTAAATGGGCACCTGGCCAAAGCACTGAACTTTGTCCCAAGATTCACTGGGTCTTGGGCCAGTTTCCAAAGGGGAAAAAATCTATTAGATTGCTTGATGAGGTTTTAGCCAGTCTCTAAAATTTGCAACTTTTGACTCATTCACCTTGGAGATAAAATTTTAGTGTGTCTTTGGTAAAATCCTATAGATTACCAATGCCCCTGAAAATGTACAAAATATCAATATGAATAACATCAATTTAATTTGTACTTTTCCCATGAGGGATTTTCCAAATGACATCATGTTTTCCCATTGTACTAGCAAGTAATGCAAATCTTCCTTTAGATAGAATACCTGTCTTTATGCCAACTCTTGGCTTCTATAATACTGACCTGAGGTTTTTCCTCCAAGACACTATTGGGGGTCAGTCAGGACAATTTCTGTTTTGCCTTCCCAAAAAACATTAATATCTCCATATCTTTTTAGTGTACTCTTCTCTACTTCTAAACCTTGATTTTATTATCTTAAATTTTCTTTTATTTATTCCAAATTGCTATGCAACCTGAACTCACCTTCATAATTTAGGCTCTACAAAGTTATAGAGGACTCTAATGAGTTTCTAATGTTAAATATATCATTTTGCAATCTTTTTGAGAAATGACAAAATTACCCACTTGAACCATTCTTTCTACTATTTCCACATCTTCATAATCCTTAAAAGTGAGAGGGAGTCAACATCTCAACTCTCTGTTCTGCAATCCCACTGTTTCTCAGATGCTTCATTCATCCTTACAGAGTTAGTGATCAATGTCTCATGGATAATCCTCGTTCTCTTGAAACAGCTCCAGATTTTCTTTTAGGCACTGGCCTTGTACCTCCTGCTGCTTTCTGAGTGTGGCAAATATCTCATTGAAATTTATTACTTAAACAGACCTCTAGTTGCCTAGGGTAACTGTAGTTTTGGTCTTCCCAGTGTGCTGTCCCAGCACTCCCCCCACCCTTTTTTTCTTTCTAACTTTTACGACAGAATTCTTCTTTCTTGTGGGGTCATACTCTGTTCACAGGAGTAGGCGTGCAAGATGAGTATGGCCAGTACAGCATTCCATTCTCAAGTTTACCAGCTATCCCCTAAACACACACACACACACACACACACACACACACACACACACATTCTAGTTGCAACCATACTTCATATCTGGTGGGATTCTATATGTACATCTTTCCTTAAAAAAAAACAACCCTATGATTCATATATCAGATGCCATAGACATTGTTCTATACTCCAAGTATTGTTTTCCGAGGCATCTATTTTTATACAATTATTAAACACCAATCATTATAACACATAAAGGGAGTAAATAAACTAATGACAAAAAGAAGGTCCATGAAAATTTTATTTAAAAAAGGATGTCAGGTTATAAACTATTCTCATTTTATGAGACTTCTCTTACCTGCTCAGAGCATACTTTTATGCATTTTTAAAAATATTATTCCAAGAACATAATGAAATGCCATATACCTGTGGCTGCTCAATGAATATATTTGATCAGTGTGGTAAAATTGAGCCAGGAAAGCTAATTATAGTTCTTTTTGTCTCCAATTAAAAATCTATAAAATGAAGTAATATTATCTGTCTAGTCTACCTCACAGGTTTCAGTATGTGTTCAATACTATAATGTTCATTATAAACTATTAAGCATTATAGGAAAAGTAAAACCTTGGAGTTTCCTCTTTGACAAGGTTTAGGTTCTAAAAACAGCATTTTAGGTGCAAATCACACACATTCAAAATAACCCTATACAGGACCTAAAATATCAATAAATTCAGTTCAGCTAGTTTTTCTCCCAGTATTGGAACATACCACTGTTTCTTTGGTTGAACACCAGATGAAGAATTGTATTTAACCTGCATTAATGGGTCATGTTATAAAAAAAACCCAAGATGCCCTGTATTTCAAAACAACCATCAGAGTACCCTTAGTTTTGTGAAATGCTCACACAGATAAGGGTGTGGAAATGGGAACCACTGAAGTAAGGGAACAGCAGATTCAATTCTTACATCTTATCCTTTAGGAACTAAAAGCCACAATTATCAATTTATTAAAAATGGTTTTATAACCCACATTTCAATGCCTCCTGCCTTTGCCTACTGATGCAGGACCTCCAGCTCCTTGCAAGGTTCCATAAGTTCTAAGATTCTTTAGACAGGGTTTTATATGGGCTTAAAAACAAGTCTTATGTGCAGCCACACGGATGTCAGCTGTTGAGGTGTCTTGTCTTTGAACACTTCTGGTACTCATTGTTGATCCAGCCCCAGTAAGCCAGGTCACCTCCACCTTCTACTGGAAATTTTCATGATCTCCATCATGGCCCTCAAGGAATCAAAATGCTTCTGTGTTTTCTGGAGTCTCAAATACTGCAAAATTATGTTGTATTTCCTGCAGAAGTAGAAACAAGCCCCAATCACTCATTTTTGGATTATAATTTGTGACGTAATAAAAATTTTAGGGCACTCCTATTTCTGCTTATACTGCTTTCCAAGAGGAGTCTATGAGGCTACATTAGAGTATGAATCTTCAAAACAGGTAAGGCAATGTCCTCTCAATGCAAGAGTGACATCCAAAAGGTTAATAGCCATCATGGCATGGGCACTGACCAATCGGGACACTGGTTGATGCATTGTAGCAGTGCAAACTGACTGAAAAATGGCCTGGCCAACCCCCCTCCTCAGTGGTAGCCAAACTTCTTGGCAGTCTTTCTGCCCAAACCCTTATGTAAATCACCTCTTGGCAGTTCAAACCCACCAATTTGCCAGATATGCCAAGACATGTTTGAACCCCAGTGGTGGACAGAGTCCACCCCAAGTTGTGACTGTGTTATATTTGAATGCAGCTAATTTGAAAAATTTGATACCAAAATAATATTGTAGAAATAATGGAAAGATTTTAAATGTAAGAAAAAATATTCAGAAAACCAACAAATGAATAAAACAACTGTTTGTATTTTTGGACATTTCCTCTGAGTCCTTATCCATATGCAAGTATTTTATAAAGTTGTCATTGTAATGGTTTTAATTCGGTTTTTACTGCTTCAGTTGCAATTATATTGTTCATTTTGCCAACATTTATTGAGTTCCTACTATGTGCCCTGCATCAACTGAGATCAAGAGAAACACTTTATATCTCCATGTAATTCCATGTAAGCAGGAAGAAAATTAGAGATAAAGGCAAACTTTGTGTATGTCCTCTTTTGGCGACACCTGTCGATATATATATATATAGTTTTTTCCACTCAATGATTTCTCTGGTGCTTAGATGTACCTCACCTTAACTCCTCTCATGCTAGATTAAAAGCTTAACCTCCTTAGAATAGTTCACTTAGGGTTCCAGTTGACTTGGCTCTGTAGGAGATTTGTTTTTAATTCCAGAAGGGTCCATAATCCTTTGACCTTGAAAATACTTTACAATGCAGTTGAATAGGCCATAGTTAGGTTTTAAAACAAATATAGTAGTTTTTGCAATTTGCTATAAGCAAATGAGTTTCCCACCATATCTGGCACAGGTCTGGGCACATAGTAGATACACAATAAATATATCCTAGTACAATCAGGATTATGTCTTTTCATAGATTTTCCAAAACAGACCAATAAAATTTATGAAATTTATAGAACCATAGCCAAAGCATTTAATAATGAAGAAACAGAATAATTGGATCACTTTTTGTTGTTGTTAATCCTCACCTGAGGATATTTCTCCATTGATTTTTAGAGAGAGTGTACGGAAGGGGGAGAGACAGAGAGAGAGAAACATGGTTACCTGAATGGTGACCAGAATCCAACCCGGATCCTTCAGCCAGCAAGCCAAAGCTTTATTCACTGAGCCAAACTGGCAAGAGCTAATTGCATCACGTTCGATAACAAGATCAATCAAAGAACTTGTATGCATGCATATAAGCCTAACCATGGACACAGACAACAAGGGGGTGAGGGCATGAGTGAGGGGGTGGGGGTGGGG